ATCTTTTTTTAAATTTTTAATCAATTTTCTAAATTTAAGGTAATTTATATATTATATATTTGAACGTATGATACATAAGAAACTAAAGATTAACATATGTTCATTGGGTTTGCTCAGACAAACATGACTTTTTACAGACATTCATTGCAGTTGAAAGATGAAAATATCTACGTATTATCTTACAAGTTATAAAATCACTAGTGATTCCCGTAAAATGTACCATTATGTTACAAGTATTAACAACACTTTAGTCTAAAACCTACACTGTGTGAGTATAGGGATATCCTTGTTTACATTATCCATTAATACTCATCTAGAAAGATTTAATACTCCTTCAGAATATAAAATTGCACATTATATAATTTCTTAATTGGAATATTTAAGTCAAATTATGTTAATTCAACACACACACTCATCCTATCGATAATATATTTGAACTAACGTTTTTAAATTCAATCAAGTGGAACCATTATTCTAAGAAGAACTGGTAAATTGTACAACCGTGAAGTCGATCAACAAGTTTTTTTTTTTGTTTTTTTTTCAATTTAGGGAAAAAATAAAGCTTCAGTATAATAAAAGTTGTGGTACATACACTTTCTACTTAACACATTTACTTTTCTCTATTTTTCTGCACACTAAACATCATGAATGGGAATCCAACATTTTGCAACCCTAAAATTCAGCAGATATGTACGGTACTATGGTGCTGAAAAGTTAAAGTTGCAAAATATCTGTCAACCATTTTGAATAATTCTAATTGGCATAGTTTCATCCGATAATTCATCTCTAACGCACATGTATCACAAAATAATATTTATGTTTTTGCAACAACTTCCCCTACTTTACTTCCAAGTCCCCTTTCTTAGAGACCAGGCATCATGACAATAACAGTTCAATCCATATTGACTTCCTTATACACACAATTGTGAATACCCCTTACACAGAACCATGCCTTACACACCTGCATTGTGAGTACTACCCCCACAGTAACACTAATTCCCTTGTTAATTTCACACTCACTTGGCACTGTCAAAAGGGATCCAAATGTACGTAACATAGATATTTTCGACACTCAGACATTTATTAGGGTGCTTTCGATTGCATGACAACGGTAGGACGTAGAACGTAATGACGTCACTAAAAGTCATTTGCGCATGCGAGAACGTTAAAAATCACCTCGTCGAGTAGATTCTGGAACGCAATTTGGCCAAATCTGCGTGTGCAGAGAACGCGTAGGAGGACGCCAAGTAGGACGGTCACACATGAGTGATTCCATTCTAGCGCCGCGTCGTCGCACAAATCGAAAGCTCCCTTATTCCCTGTATAAATCTGTTTAACACATTGATTCTACATGCACTGCAGGCATTACCTCTTTTTTAGCTAACAATAAGAATAATACACAGCAGTTAAAACAAGAGCTTTTTTTTGCGTGAATGCACCGAATGCAAGTATACTGTAGGCCAATATACAGAAAATAGATAGACTTACTGTAATGAATCTTAAATTGTTAATCTATAGACCAAGTACGCACCTTTATTCCTCTTAATTATACTCAAATTGAAAGCAGACTTCGGCACCACATGTTTAATATACATATATCTCCATTATAAATTGCACATTTGGATTTTAATGAAATCTTTATATGATTGTATTCATACTGATACTACTAGCTTTATTCATGATTTATGGTAAGCTGGCATCCACCATACCGTATATAAAACGAGAGAATGGCTAGCAATCAAAGCAACATGTAGCAGTCACAAACAACCTAGGTTAAAGATTTCCCACACGAATAGAATATACAACTGGTACTGGGTAAAGACAACTTGATTTCTTGCTTCAAACAAGGTATCCATTAGTAGAAGTCTTATGAAGTGAAGATAGGCCTACCCTAAGTGATATTAAAGGGTCGGGACCAGGATATACCTTCAACTTTAGGTTGACAAAGATTAAAATATGTTAAATACAGTCACAATGTATACACACACATCTAGATGTGTATAAGAGACAGATATATATATATATAATATATGTGTGTATATATATATATGTACATATTTATATTTACATTATGTGTAAGTGTGTATTTAGTAAAATAAATATAATTTAACGAAAATATGGATGAGCATAGGAAGAAAAAAGATTAAAAAATAAATTGGGAGTGGCTAAAATATTTACTAAAAATAAACAATAATACATTTTGTCATTGCATCACATTTTTGTGAAAATTTGTTGGCACTAATCTTCAGGGGTCAATTGAAGGTGGCAGCAGCCTACAAGTTTCATATATTCGACATCGAACACAAAACCCTGACATGGATATGCCCACCTCTAAAACCACTTCCACTAAAAAAAGCATTAAAAGCAGGGCATTCACTGCGTCCTACGACCGTCGTGCGACAAATCCAACTTCGCTCCCTGTGAGCGATAGACAATGGGCTTATTCGACTGGTTCATTTCGTTAAGTACGAATTTTCGTTAAGTGTTATTTTCATTCGACTGTTTCGTAAAATAGACTTCATTGACAACGAAAATTAACGTAACCAGAATGTGTTAACCAGCATTAAGTTATGCACGTGACCATTATTAAATTTCAGAAAATAAAAATTATAATATTTACCCACATTGGAGTCAAAAAATAATTGTAGGCTAACAGAATTCAAAAACTGAATGAAAACATTTTTTTTACGAAAAACCCCATACTGCCACAATTCGAAGCAGCCTTGATTACACTTTTTGTTTTGTCGAGTATTCACCAGTTTTCAATTCGACTGGTCGTCTTCGTTAAGTAGAATTTTACCACTGCGCAGGTGGTCGTTGTTTAACGAAGAACGACCAGTCGAATACGGCCAATGTGACACTGGCCTGTTGATTTTCTGTGGCAGTTTGAACAGATCGTCATTAAAAAAGATCCGTTGCATGTGCGTCGCGTCATTCGTTCTTCGTAGAATCGCGTCGGTCGGCGACCATCGGGCGTGTGAGTGCCTAGCTTAAGACCACCACCTAATCTTCAGCAAACCCAAATAAAAATATTATATGTACCTTGACTAGTTCCAAAAACCTGCTGTTATTCAGTGTCAAGTTATCAGTGGTGCTTATATTAGAGTCAGTAGAACTAACAATGCATAAACCTTTGTTAATTACAGTAATGTGTTCATTGTTGGCATGTAGGGACATTAATAATTTTGTCTTAATGAATTAAATAAAATGTATTAAGTATCTGAACATTGGAAAAATATAAAATAATGAATATGTGCAAATAATCTCATGTAGAATAATGCTGCAACATACTGTTGAATTATAACTCCTAATGTTAAAATATTAAAACCATAGGCCCTTAATCGGTAAACATAAAGAGAATTAAAATAATAAAAACAATTACAGTATACTATGAACTCAAAACTCAATAATATGAAGTTAGAATTCTTAATTTAAAATAAAAGAAGCAGTTCTCAGTGGCGGATTCATAAGTAGGGGGAGGGAGGGTTGCACAGTCAGCCTCCTTGTCCCCTACATTTTTCAAAATTTTAAAGATTGTGAAAAAAAAGAGAAAATTATATCACATTTTAAGTCTGAGAGTGCCATTTCTGGCCATCTAGAAGTGCCATAATCATAATTTTTTTTTACCTCAGCCTCAACATTGGTGGGTTTGAGGTCGTCTAGACTCTCTCTCCCTAGATCGCCCTTACTTTAAATTTCATCTGCCACTGGTTTTTTGGTTCTCCGTCTTACTTCATAATTTATCACACGTAGTTCATAAGTCTAGGAAGACAAATTACAAAAAGAGTGGTCCGGAGGTTTACAAACAGGGATGCAGAGGCACAGGCAGGCATGGGTTTCCTTTTTAAACCACTATATATTACCATAAGTGAACTACAGTCTTTTTTGATGACAAATTAATCACCGCATGGTACTGGTACTGGTATTGGGTATTTATATTGCGCCTTTCCCTTGCGGTTATTAAGCGCATGCCTCATCTAATCTGAAAAAAGTATGTTGTTTTTTATCAGACAATAGATATTTGATGTTAATAAACTATGAATGAAACCATTAATAATTAATCATGCAAACAGGGAACCAAATACCACTTACATTAACAATGTGAAGTGGACCAACATAAATTATAATTTTCTAGAGTGTTTAAAATGGCCAGAAGATTTCCTCCTACCATCATGTGTTCGCACAATTAAAAGTTTCATATTGAAGTCAACTGAATACCATCTAGAACTCTATTTCTTTTACTCTGAAGGTAAATTATTCTAACCCTTGCAAGACTAAAGTGAGTCTCACATGTACATGTGATGACAACAGTGAGCCAATAATTATATTTCAATGTCCGAAATGCATTAATCTAAAGCAGCTGTGATTGGAACTTGTTAGCCTCATTTAGAAATGGTCAGAGTAAGTTTAATAAGGGCGAACATTATTTCTGTTGCTAATTATTAAAGTCCTTAGAACAAAAACGATCTTCTGCATTTTGAAAGAGTGATTATAACTGTAATTTTATGTACAATCAAGTAAAATTTTAGAGCATGACATTTTTGGAGCTTGATTTGCCTAGTTTGCTTACAACCAGATAAGGACAGTAGACTACAAGTCAGGGAAGGAAAGCTGCATATTTTCAACGAATATTATGCAACGAATATCAATTTGACAATCCAACATTTTTATAACGATATCTAATTAGAAAAAAACCCCTTAGAAAACAGCCACATTCAATTCTGAATAACCCGAATGTACATGGTAAATAGAGGGCAGTCTTGCAATATATACATCCAAGGGTGTGTATACCACTTGGCTGCATTGCAGTGTCGGTAGTGTATCCGAACAGTAATCACAAGGTCTTGGGTTCTAATCCCAATGGGGACAATGCGCTTTTCTCAAAAATGTATTAACAATCTATTTGATGTATTATGGAGGTAGAAGGATTTCTTCATATCACTTCTTGAAAATATTCTGATATGAACAATTATACAAATGTAATACTTTATAACAAAAGATATTTTAAAAGAGAAACCTTCACTTTTATAAACATTTCTAAAATATGTAAAATCTGGAAAATTTACAATTTTGGCCCATTCTCGATATATTAATTTGTTCCTCTATACAGTACAGTATTCCAAAATATATATTACAAAAGTATACTGCACATTTACCTAGATGCATTTTCCTAGATCATTTAATAAAATGAAATAAGTTTTACTGAATGGGAAAAAATGTTGTGTACAAGGCGTTCTAAATATATTCTGAGACTATCAACCCATTATGTTCTCTTGCCAAAATTGTTCAAATTATTTTTAATGATTGTTCAAATCGATAATATATAAGTATTTAAAGATTTTACAAGTCAATTTGGATAAAAATTTCAAAATTTATAATTTGCTTTAAATAAAAACCCTAATGAAACAGTTTTAATCATTTTTAGTACCAATATTACAAATAATTAAACTGATCTAGTGTGATCATCGTCAACGAGGAGCTAATGAAATTTTGGTCATGGTTACAATTCGTTCAAGACTATCAAGAAAGTTAAAACTGGTTCAAATTTGCAGACTTGTAAAGGACAACTAGAATAGTCTCAACTTCCAGATTGTGTCAGTGACAGATACATAGTGTAGCGATTGCTGCAGTGACGGTAACAATTTTATGGAAACTAGGTCAATAGAGTGAATCTCGTTGACATTATGCCCATGCCATTCTTCTTGTAAATATTTTCTGAAAAATTGAATATAATGTTCATACTGGTACACTCACTTTATAATAAAAATGTGAAATATTAACAAATGAACCGGAATAAAATGAAGCTTTCGTAATTAATATAAGAAATGCAGTGTAATATTTGAGAAATTATATATTATAATTATACTTCTGATCCGTTTCATTAGTTTTTTTTTCCGAGAAACTTCCACATATATTAACTCACAGCTAGTTCGCAGTATTCCTCGATATTGGTTTTAGGCCACGTTTTTGAAAAACTTTGCACACTACTCCAAAAAAATTAGTTTTATGACTGTGTCTACATGGAGGGCAGCATGCATTAACAGCGAAATGACCAAGCACGGTATGCAAGAGACTTTCTTCCAATCTGAGAACATGACCAATCAACCATCAAGATTTATTAACACACTCAGAAAATGGACTGACACCGATAACGTCATTTAATTTTCGGTTTCCGGATGACTTTAATATATAAACTGTCGCAAAGGCGTAAAACAACCAACAACATCCAAACATTAGGCAGATAGAATACAGGCTTCCACGAAACACAGACTCAATTACGGCCCTACGATTTTCATTTTTTGGAGTTACACCTACGACTTATCAGTGGATCTTTCGGTAGAATACATGAGTTGCCCAAGTTAAATATACTTTGCACCAAAATAAAAGCAATAATCAGAGTACGAGTCATCTATCTCAGGACAGCGCAGTCCTCTCGTATGTGCCATCAAGATCTGATTGGTTCTGTGTGAGAAATTTGGTTCCAGTTGACTGATTTTAAATTATCATGAAACTGCTGCATCCTTCAAAATACCCAAAGACGATGATGCATCAATTATCTGAAAAATAATAGCAGTATACAACTATAATAAAATGAAATTATTATATAGGGCATAATGGCAAAATGCCTTAAATCAAGATTACCCTAGTGAATAAGAAAACACCAGCAGAAAACATACTCAGCTCCACACTGTAGGCCTACTATTAGGTTGTAAAAATATCCCCCATAGTGCCTTGCCCAAATAAAGAAGCAAAAAATACTGAATGTGTATGTGGTGTGTGTGTATTCAAGTATATTAGGGGCATAAAATATAGACCTCCCTGGTTCTAAAGGGCTATGCATTTCCTTTTCAATAGGAATAAGGTGAAGTGTCAGATGTGTATGTAAAATAGGGAAATGAAACCCAATAAAATACACTTCTGATTTTTTTGAAAAATGGTCACATGGACAGTTAGTCACCTGTTTCATCCAATCCTGGCATTCCTTCTTGGAACGTGAAAGTGTATCAGCTTGACCTTTTAGAATGCGAATATTCCAGGCAAAACTTTCCATTGACTAGAAGAGAAAAGAAAAACATAATCTAACTAGAGATACTATGTTCAATAGAACATGAACCCAGTCATTTTTCAGGGTTTGACCCTAAGGTGACTACTGTGACCTTTGACCTCGAGCTGTGAACACCCAATATTTGGTAGGAGTCTGTCTAATGCAATTGGTCCAATCGCTAGTCTAAACTACTAACTACTACTAAATCCTTTCTGAGCCATTGGGGCTCATAGGGCAGACGTATCTGTAGTGTGAGGCGGATGAGAGTTGTACTCCCCTGGACGGGACACTAGTCCATCGCAGGTTAGTCCCCAGCAATTTGCTGGTACCCATTGATACAACTGGGTGGACTGAAGTAATGTAGCTAAAGGGTCCTAAAGATCATTCCTGGTAAATTCGAGCTCAATTGGGTTATTTTGAAAATTTGACCCCTAAGTAACCCCTGATCCCAGACTGGGGTGTAAGGTGTCACTGCTTAATGATCAAATTTGATTAAATTCTGTTCAATTGTTTGCCATTAGTATCATTTTAAACCTTTGACCTATGAACTTTGACCTATGAGGTGAAGAGTATTTTATGTGTTTAGAAGGTCCTAGGATCATTCCTGGTAAATTTGAGCTCAATTGGGCTATTTTGAAAATTTAACCCCGATACCCCTATGCGACCCCTGATCCCAGACTGGGGTGTAGGAGGTGTTGCTGGTTCTTAATGACTAAATTTGATTGAATTTGGTCCAATCGTTTGCCATTAGTAGCATTTTGAAATGTTACCAGATAAAACAAAAAAATACCCTTTAATGACCTTTGACCCTAAATCGCTGAACACCATAGAGACGCTACCTTATGCTAATACACATGTGCCCAGGACAAAACTGTATGTTATTTGTAACAGAAGTCTTTTATTAATTTTTTTACCCTAATAATCCCTATGTGACCTTTGACCGCAAGCAGTGAACACCCCATGTATGAGAGGTGTCATCGGTTATACTGACCAGGTTTGGTTGAAATCGGCACAACCGTTTGGCACTAGTAGCGTTTTGAAATGTTTCCAGAAAAAAGATGAAAATTATCCCTTAATGATCTTTGACCCCTTATCACTGAACACCCTATAGACTCTGCCTTATGCCAATGCACATGTGCAAAGGACAAGACTGTGCTACGTTATTTGTGAGAGAAGTAGTCTTTTATATGATTTTTTATTTTTTGACCCCATGCAATGCCCTTATGTGACCTTAAACCCCAAGTTGTGAAATGGGAGGTGGCACTGGTCCTACTGACCAAGTTTTAATTGAATGGGTCCAGTAGTTTGCCACTAGTAGCCTTTTAAAATGTTGCCAGAAAGAAAGAAACAAAGAAAGAAGAAACTGCTCAGAAACAGAACCCAGTCAGCATGCTGCTCACTGGGTAATCATAGGCAATGTTAATCAAAAAATTAAGTTAATAAAACTAGTAAATGTATAAACATAATTTTCTCTAATTCTTTTGGATGAATGTGTTTTTCTTTGTAATTTTACTTATAATTCATGAGTTGTTATACTTTTTTGTCCTTTTTTGGAATATAAGCATCACATTATGTAATTCGAATGTTTCATAACAAATGACAATAATTTAAATTTTACTTTGCTTGAAAAGATATTTAAAGGTCTCACCTTGCTCAATTTTTTGCCTTTAGTCCCCTCTTTGGTTAACAAGTCATTCATTTTATCCTGAAAATAAATGCAATATCAGTAGATATTGAAAAATAAAAATTGAGGAGGAGACTATATTAAAAACTGATTTTATTTTTATTACATTTTCTTTAAACTACAGGCACCTACAATATACATATTGTATTGATATTTCTAAGACAGTGGCTATTGTTATGCCAGTCAAACAACAATTAGTAATTCAGTATTCAGTATTTATTTCACCAAGTTATGAAGATAATGCATCAGAAAAAAAAATGGTCAGGATACCAATAAATGAGCTACAGGCCCATAATTGGCTACCTTTAAAATAGAGTACTACAGTGTTACGTCACAATACCATGTGATACTACTCCATTGCCATCGTTGCAAAATGCGTTCAACAGGACGCCATTTTCACTGACAAACCATTGATCCCAATTTCTAACATAATTATTAAGATGTTGTATCTTAGTTTTTCTTTGTAAATGTTAATTGACGATTAAATGTGTGTTCGATAACTAATATAATGCGAGCTTTTGTGTGTTTTAGTACACTTTGATGGTAAAATATTTCATTTTAAAATGCCTATTCCAGGAAGACTATGAAGTCATTCAGGCGTAATGAATGGTAACCAACGTCTGGTGGCAACAGAGGGCGCTACCTGGTGTTGTGACGACACAACTGTGGTACTCTATATGAATAAAAAAACAATTCTGACTGGGTGTTACTGTATGTACAATAACATCCAATCAGAATTAAGAATTAGTTTCATACTCGTGTAACAATATGCACTTCCTTTTTCAGTGGTACAGTTATATAAAGGCATTAGAGGACCCAAAATAAACAATAAATTACACATTAAAAAAAAAACAATAGTAAATGTTCAAAATTAAAATAATCTTGGAATGAAAATACTGTGATATCTTAATTTTTAGCAAATTATTGTATTACAACTCTTTGATGACTGATACAGAGACGTTCCTTTGTGTTGAAAAGTACTTCAAAGTGGCTAAAATTATATCTATTTATTTGAGGTTCTTTTTTAAATAAAAATTCAAAATAATTTGAAAACTTGATCGTGAGGATTATCACAAAATACCACAAGAATGAGCGCTTGACAAAGAAAAAAAGTTGAGTTGGCATGTTCAAAAGTAGACCTTACCACTTTGACCTGCTTTCTAACTAAGTTCCCCTCATACATTCATCAAATATCTAAGACTATTGCCGACAACATAGCTCTCCTTTCAACGACACATCAACTACAATACTCATTAACCAATGAAATAGGGATAAATTTGACCGGTGTTGTGAGCTCTATTTGTCAAGATTATACCATGATTGCACAAGGTCTGAATCTTATAGCTTTGCAAGCTATGATTGATTTTGTCCATTTGTATTACTTACATGGAAATCAAGTCCTGTCTGCTGCAGTTTATCCAACTTGGCAACGAGAGCCTCAGCTTTATCCATCAAGATTTTACACTCGGAAATCATCTAATAAAACAAAAAAAAGAAAATACATAAGAGTTTTGTATGTACATTAAAAAAAATTATGATAATCTTTAGCCTGGTCCAAGATAGCACATGCAAACAGCATATAAGGATCTGTTTACAACATCTGGATGAAAGAAACCCAAGAGGGCCCTCATATTAAAGCTCAACACTAATATCGAGCTGAACCGGTCACCCTCGTTAAATATGGTTAAAACAAATTTTCAAAACCACTAAAATAATAGGCCATGCGAGTCAAGTAATACCATTGCTGCTGTTTTCATGGTGTTTATATATTTCTTTTTGTACCTTCAATACATAGGTCTACCACTATTTAAATACCAATCAAATTAAATACAACCTCCAATTAAAGACACCTATTCTGGGGTAAAAAATTCACAAATCTTTATTATTCTAATTAGATGTATTATTCTGATTAGATATTTTGTTTTAAATATCTTGTAATTTTTTTTTGTTTTTTTTTTTTGTTTTGGTTAGTTAGTGTTTTTATTCCCTTTGAATGTGTTACTGTAGTAAATATGAACCCATGAATTGGGTCTGTTAGTTCTAGCTCCATATTAACTTGCAATTCATACAGCAACTCTGTAAATAATATGGTCCTGTAAGACTACCATACCACATAGACCTACATGCCATGTTGATAAATTTTACTTTGTATATACATTTTAGTTTAATTTACTCCTAGTTTAAGTTTATTATTTTCCTCTTATATTTGGATGCACCGTTGGGTATTGTCCAACGTGTGCCACTGTTACGAAAGTGATATCCATTAAATTGAATTGAATTGAAACCAAAAAAGCTGCTAAAGACCATGGAAAGCAAGGTCCCAAAAGTGGTACTTTAATGGGAGGGGGACCTGTTATATTTATCATGTCACAATTAAGTCCTATTGTGCTTTCTAGGAGGTGAATGTGGTGAGGTGTCTTTCACCCTATCCCATTTGTATAAAATGAATACATGATGTACAAGCTGTTCAATAATACCTCTACACAAAAAAAAATAAATAAACAAAAAAATAAATAAATAAAACTAACTTACAACTTCAAAAGCACTTAGCCTCTTCCTAAGCATTTCCGAACTATTTCCTTCTAATTCAAAATATGGAAGATCTTCCCGAACCACCAAGTGCAGTGACACAGCATCATAGGTGTTGTCCAACTTTGACCCAATTAGACGTATACATTGCTTTAGATTTGCAATTGATGCCAAGCCACACGCTTCTTTGAATTTAATCATCGCATTCTGGACATTCTCACGTAAGTTATTTGCATCTTCAAGAATTGGGACGGCACTCTACGGAGAGATATGTAAAAACAATTTTGATAGTTTGAGATATTGAAACAAATTACTCTGAGCACTGTAGTCAAAGATGAAGATGATGATAATGATGATGATGATGATGATGATGATGATGATGTTTTTATTGTAAAAAAAATGTATTTTTGGAGATCTTGATTCTTGGATTTTTGAAATATTTTTCTGTATTACCCTGTCTCTTATACACATCTAGATGTGTATAAGAGACAGTCCTAAGACTATGACAAAAAGGAATAAATAATATCTTACTTTTAACAAAATAAAAAAAAAAAAAAAACTTGAAACCCAAAACTCTTACAATCCATATTGTGAACTTTAATGCCCATGCACGAGGGGCTCATAAGCAACATGCTTCAAGAATCTCTACTATCAAGTAACCATGTAAGTAACAGTAAGTAATATATATTATTCATAACAAACTTTAGTGCTTACCGTTTCTATTTAAAAGGTTTATTTTAAATCAAACATTGTTATTATTACAAAACAAAAATTATATTAAAACTATGCATAATTTGACTGACCTTAAAATGTTCATCAACATTTTTAACTCCAACTGTACGTATCCTGGCAAAATGACTGTTGCGTTTGGATTTTTTGACTGATAACCCTCGCTTGTGAGCTTTCTGAAAAAAAAAAAAAAATAAAGCATATTTGATGGTTTATAATTAATAACTAAATTTCAGGTTAATTTTATTATGTTTATCACCATTACTACATTTGGTTTGGTGAGCTAAAACGTTTGGCTGAGAGGTAAGAACTTAATGGCCATGAACCATTGTGATGTTCATGTTAACGATGATCTTGATAACCAAGATAGTGAATAACCCTCGCATGAGAGTAAGGTGAGATAGGGGACATGTGATACTATCACAGGTCTCCAGGGGCTTAGCCAAAAATTCTATTTCGAAAGTTCAAATTTTGAATGACAAAAATGAAATACAATAGATCAATCAAAATAATTTTTATTCACACTATTAGAAACAGATCATCTAAAATACTAAATTACTGACTTACCCCGCCCCCTCGCTTATTTGTTACTGCAATATGAACAAACAAGGATGCAGGAGCTAAACTTTCACCAGTGTTGGAATACAATGTTAAATGTCTGTAGCCTACAAAAAAAAATGAATTCATTAAAAGGTATTATGGACTCAGCCTGGCAACCTCCAAATTCTTCAGCAGAAACTGAATCCGAAATGGAATCCTATAGTCTAAAATAATTATTGGGAAATAAATGATTATGATTAACGTGATGATGATGAGGAAGATTGTGGTGATGATGATATGATATTGATGATGATGATGATGATTTATTTATTTATTCTTTCTTTAGACTGCATGCACTTTCAGTACTTGAGTACTGTTTTTCAAAGTGGTACAGTTACAAACAAACCATGAAATAGAAAGAATATAATACAAAAAAAAAAGAAAGAGAAAAAAAGTCAAAAGAAGATTCAAAGTAAAACTTAAAAATTAATAGAATGTTGGAATGAAACTAAGGTCATTTCTTTAAAGTTAGTTTTTGTTTCATTTGGAAGTTCATTCCAACTTTTTGATGCACGATATAAGAAAGTCCTTTTACCTTGGCAGATATTCCAAGGTGGTACAATTAATTCATTATGTGTTTGGCTACACGTGCATTTTGAATGCATATTGTGATTAAAATTAAATTTGAATGTTAGGTATGGAGGGGCATGCCCTTTTAAACATTTTAAAGTCAAAAGAGTTAACTGATGATGATGATGATGATGATGATGAGAAAGATGATATTGATGATGATATTGACAATGGTGATGATGATGATTATTATAATGAAAATAATAATGAGGATGTTGATGATAGTGATGATGATGATGATTATTATAATGAAAATAATAATGAGGATGTTGATGATAGTGATGATGAATGGTTCTGTTTAAAACAAAATTATGTTAATACTATTTAAGGTATAATATTCTTACCTGGTTGCAAACATTCAAATGGAATGGTATATTGACCTATGAACTCATCTCCAATGTAGTCATCATCAAGGACCACAAACCGCACAAGTGCCATCTCAGGTAGTGTGACAGTGAATTCAAAACTCTCATCAAAGATGGGGTTGTAGCCTTGAGAAGCAAGAACATATATCATTGAGAATATTCTTTCCCTTTGACAAAGAAGGCACTTCTGAGAGGTCTAACTAAATGACCTTCCTCACATATTTACATGAGGTACCTCTACCCTTTACCAATTTTCCTGGTGTACACTAGGACTACGGTTTATATTCCTCCTCCAGAACCATAGACGAACGTGCCATTCAAACCAGCACCGATATTATGGCTGTAGGTTGAGGCGCCCCTGCCTTCACCACTCGGCCATTCGTCTCCCACATATACCCATCCAGCTCATTTCCATGAGATAATAATACAATAGTACACCATAAAGAATTTGCAGGAGATGGGTTAGTTTCCAGGAGAATTTTCTTTTTTTCGCGGTAGTGGGGGAGGCTGTCTACATTTCTCGGAGACTCCCGCGACTCTCTTTGTTGGCTTCTTTACAAATTCAGTATCATACATACGCATACACACACACATGCTCATTACATACATATGTTCATTGCAATAAATGCTATGCTGCTTTCCAAAAAATCATATCTGTTGCCTAATGGAAGCCAGTTGAGCACAACCGATTCTTTATTTTGTTTAGATAACATTAATTATCATTCATAAGATACAAATCTCCCTGTCAGTTTCTAACAAAATAATCTAAACATAATATTTATACGACCTAATGTGATAAGTATCTTTGATAATATGTATTATTGTCTAGCTAATGTACAATCGACTTTTCCCCTCTATGCAATTTCCTAAGGGATAAATATATGTGGTTTCATTTGATTGGAGATTATCAGCTAATGTGCTTTACATATAAATTCTGCAGGCTATCTGTTTCAGTGGCAAATGCTTCAATTCATTTTTAAAACAAAGAAAAAATAATTGTCCATAAATATAGAATGAGTATTTGTTTAGGTTTTTATGGAAGTCATAACGTTTAATTAATCTTAATTTTCATATTTAATATTTCTTCAACAAAGTATCTTATTGGATTCTGGGTATAGTGTATTGTGATCTGATTTATTTGCTTAATTTCTTAAAAGCCTTTAAGTTATACACATTGTACCATAGATTAACGACCTGGTTTTGTTCTCAACTGTAAACTTGTAAGATGGATGCTAATTGCAACACGTAGTGACAATAATGTATCATTCTCAAGCCAAACAATACTTTTGAATTCATCATGTCATGAATGATGGCAACTGTTAGATTAAAATGGAGACTCTTACAATTAAATATCATAAATAAATCAATCAACTATAGTCATCTCTCTCCATCTCCAGAATGCTTTAAAAATCATGATAAGGCCCCGTAAAAAAAATTGTTAGTTTATCACCCTATCCCAGCAAAAAAACTGATGAGGGAGGGAGTTTTTTTTTTTTTTTTTCAACCGTCCTATCGGTGTTTGCTGGTGCATTTGGTTGAATTGTTAGTTTATCACCCTATCCCAGCAAAAAAACTGATGAGGGAGGGAGTTTTTTTTTTTTTTTTTCAACCGTCCTATCGGTGTTTGCTGGTGCATTTGGTTGAGGACAAACACATAAAAAGACACAAGAACGACTCAAATTACAAAGAAAACATGTTTTTATTGTCCATTAACACATTTTCCTAAAATACAGTACAGTTTCTAAATATGAAAAAGTGAAAATTCATAAATACATCTGGCAAGGTAAAGCATATAGAAAATAAATAAAATTATTGACCCTCTTTTTACTGTACATCTCCTGTCATTGCAAGTGCATAGCTTTGGTAAGTTTATTATTGCAATATGTATTTTGAAAGAATGAAGGAAAATACATATATTGAACTTGAATGAATGTGTCTACCTTCTACTTGGGACCAAATTTTGCAACAACCTGTGAAAAAAATTACAAAAAAGTGAGAAAAAAAAACCCCATTTTATATGTTTTGAAGAGCTATAGAACTGATGTATAAACAAATGTATGTCATGACTGGATGACAAAAACAAACTTAGGCCCCCTAAGTAGGGCTAGGTCCTGTAGATCCTGCTGGGTTAGGCCTAGGCCCAATCTAGGCCCTTCTTCTAGGAAGCCAGGCTAGCCTACTCTAGCCTCCGTAGGCCTACTTGCTTGATACGTTTCGATAGTCTTGCTTCTCAAAGGACAAATAGTTTTAAATTATACCTCAACATTTACAAATCTTATTAGGCCTATACCAAACTGATTTTCTTAACATGTGTAGGCCCGTGCGACCGTTTCCAGGCCAGGCTTGGGAGACGGGGCCTAGCAGACCGCCCGCCACACTGCCACCGACCCATTCAAATACAATAGCCTAGACCTACTAGTTAGGCCTGCCTGACAAGGGTGATTCATGACAAGCACAGCTAGCAATACGTACCGTCGTAAAATCTTTTCCTATTTTTCCTCCTTCTCCAATTTCGCCCGATTTTAAAGCATTAAACAATTTATAACGGATATTTTTTGCGAACCAGCCCTTCAAAACATGATATTCCCCTCTTTGTTTGCATTACAATTAGGCCTAGAGGCATGGTTAAAAAGTTTCGGGGTCATTCATCTCACACACACAAAATATCGCGCCAGAGTAGAAAAGCTATCTTAGTGCGCATGCGCAACATGTGAAATAATCTTTAGCCTTTTCAAGTGAAAAATGACGAAAAAACGATCGTTTAAAATGAAAAAAAATGTAGTAAAAAAAAAAAAAAAAAAAAAAAAAATCGGGATTTCCCCAAAAGTGATGCGTGCGATGGTGATAAACTAATAATTTTTTTTATGGGGCCTAATCATTATTTTTATCAGCTATTTTAATCTTCCAGACTTAAATTTTGTTGTAAAGGGCAAGTGGGAAACTTCATTTTAACTGGTGCTATAAAAATAGTAAAATCTATATCAAAAATTTTAAAAGTCTTGAGAATTAAGAAAATTAACACACTCCGGAGTTTAAACAATTGCTTAATAGTCAAACAAGTTAAAATTAGTCTAACCAACTAGGCAATCTATTTTAGTAACAAGGTAACACATTAATTTAGTAACTAGGTAACCCATTTTAGTCACAGGGTATCATGGTGATGTCCTAATTAACCATCAATTATCTTCAAAGAGGAAAACCATAAATTATAGCAAGGGGGTGTCACATAGATGCCCAAATATTCTATTATAATGTTCTCTCTGCTTCCCTCGATATCAACATTTGTAAATGACATAATTAGCTTTCTGGGGGTCAAAGATCAAAGAAAAAATAAAATTGCTGTGCCCAGTAAAAAGAGCACGATTGATGTTTGTAATACAAAAAAAAAATCAAAAACAGGTTTCGCCTCGCACATTGGTAGCAGCACAGATTGCAAATGGTTAAAAGCTTGTATTTTTAAACATTTAGTTTTTAATGCCAATGTAATTGTTTTAATTGTATACATGTATACTTTGCAGCAAATCCACAAGGAAAAGTGTATTAGATCTCTGAGTATGTCACATTACTACTGTACATTATGTTTACAAAATAAAACAATACTATAGAAAAGAATTACAAATTACAAAGCCTAGGTTGCACTTTCTGTAGAAATATGAATAATACATTATTAAAAAATAATGAATTCATTGCAAAAGAAACTTTAATTACTGATGCAAACATAACCTACCATTATGCGGGACCGTCTTTGTACGATCTTCTGCACAATCTGATGGAATTCCAAATATTTCCATGAATACATATGGATCGATTGCCTATAAAAGGTAAAAAATACTTTGTAAAAAGAGTGTTCGATTAATAAAAATCACTGGGGTTCTTAATTATTAACGTAAATACCTTATCTAATGTAAATTAATTTATATAATAATATAAACAATGAGTAAATAATAATACATCATTAGATTTTATCTGAAGTTCTCCTTGCTTTCAGAACATTCATTTAATGATAGACAAATACCACAAAAATGATTAAAGTACCTTTTCAGAAAAAGAGCCACTACAGAATAATCTTAATCTAGATTGCATGCCCAATTTACTTTAACATTATGAATTATTGGGAAACTACTAAAAACTGATTTCTTAATAAATAAATAAAACTCAATGATCATTTTTCCTAATTTTATCCATGCGTCAATGTATAAAGAGCACCACTATATTATGAAAATCATTCCTATCAACTGAAATGAAACACACACATACAGTATTTATTTTTAGGTCATTACTTCTGGGTTTTTCCCTGAACCTCCAAAGCAAGTGTTCACATTCTGGCGACCACTGTCACCAATTTTACTTCCAATACAATAGTGGTATGTTTAGACAGGAAGGGATGCGCTCACACATTCCTTAGTGCTCTAAGTGAACCCTGTCGGATGTGAACTTGAGTCCCTGGCAGTGAATGTGTTACTAAGATAGGGCTATGTACATCACTTGAAATGAAATGTAACATTTTAACAAGTAATATAGATAAAATTAATCCATTGTAAAAATCAGAACAGCCAAATAAACACCTTCCTAAAATAAAGCCACAGACAAAATTGTTTAAATGCTGAAAAACATTTCGATCATTTATGGAAAATACTATTTATTATTATTACTATTTATTATTTATTTATTTATTGACTTTTTATAAGTTTAAAAGAATATGCTTCTCCTTTTTTACCGCCTAAATTGATCAGACATAGCCAAACTTAAATATTTATTTTCCCCAAAGGATATCCGTCAAGGCAAATAATAATAATAATAATATTAATATTTGTAATATTTATCGGTTGGATGCACCCACCTAACTAACAATATCGTTGCTATTAAAGATATAGTTAATGTCCAAGGAGTTAAATATACTTCCTGTAGTAACTTATAATTACTGTACTGTATGAAGTAATTACAGCTGATAACCCACATTAGAGCCAGGTACATAGTATTATGAGTTGATTATTATTTCAATGTTGTTTTGCATCTGGAGATCCCATAGGAGTGATGTTCTGCGCTGATGTGTGTTCCTAGTGATCTAGTGGTTATGATATCAGGCTAGTTATATTTTGAGGTCGTGGATTTCGATTCCCACCCAAATCACTTGTGAGAATTTTTTTCGCAAGTATTTGGTAAAGTACTCCTATGAGTCAAATATTTTTTTGGTTTTAGAAGGAAATCAATAGAAATATTAAAAATCTTGGTTCGAACATCCCCGATTTTCTTCTGAAGAGATGTAACAGAAGCTTGGTTGAAATTTTCAGTGACATAAAACATGCTTAGTAAAATATGATGCAAATGGTACTACCTATCATCTTATGTATTCCACATAAATGCAAGTGTCATGTTTAAAATATTGATTGGAATGATAACTATTTCAATTGGGTAACATCTGTTTAAAATGTCTCTCAAGTATTATTGATTTACACTGCTACTATTAATTCTGGGTTAAAAGTTTACCTTAAGTAAAACTAGCACAATGCAGATGGTTCATACTGAAACAAATCCAACAAGACTTTGAGAAAGCTAAAAGTAAATTGGAGTAGATTTTTTAGAATAGATGACAGAAACAAATTACAACAAAAGTGTGAGATAAGGAATAATATTTGTCAGGAAGAAACATATCTATGTTGAGAAGAAGCACAGCAGATAAAAAATAGATTTAAAGCTTTCTGTCTTGTTTCTGTTATTGTAGTAGCATTTCCTTCTCTACAAATTGTAACATGTTGTATTGTTACAAGAGGAAAAAAGATATGGAATAAAAACAATGATTATTGAAGAAAATAATACTAAGTGCAACTGAATGCAGATGTAAGATTAAGAAGTAAGGTGGATTAAAGAGTTGTCGAGATACCAGAACATAGAGAATTAACAATAATTTGCTTAACAATCTAAAAAAGACAACAGGAGTAGTCAAAATTTTATGTCAGAAAAAGTTTTAAAGTCAATATTCCATTACACAGTATTATTTACTAATACAGTATTATGTTTTATATACATTTTTTATAATTTTCTTCTTTTTTAATAGGGATTTTCTTCATCATTCTGTATCACACTACGCTTCCAGCGATATTGGAAAGGTCACATATTTTATCTTCGATGCTGAAGTTTCATTTACACAGACTGATTGACTTCTTTATTGCTTCGGAATAAAAACTGAACATTAAATGTAAGTGAGTTCTGCCTTATCTCTAATGTCAAAAGAGTCAAGACGTATGGATTTCAACTTGCGGTAAAATATCCATATATCAATTAATTCTGCACCGTTTCGACTTTGTATGCTTCGAACGTTTACTTGATTGATTCGTTTCCAATACTATCATGCTAAAACTCTTTTCATTAATCAGGAGTTTAAATGAACAGTTATAATATATGTGTCCATTAGACATCAGAATGAGCAAGATGAAAGCTGGAACTAAAAGATAATTAGTGCTCTTTGAGAATGAAATGTATACACTCCATCAAAGGAGATAAGAGTCAATACCGAAATTTATTTTGTTAATTGTTTAAACAACTAATGCTAATAAGTAGATGAATCTAAGACAACCTACAAAAATATATTAGATGAAAATAATTAGGTTATGTTTTAGATTGGTGGTAAAATATCATAAGTACTGGTATATGATTGGAAATTGAACTGAATTGAGATATATACTATTAGGAATAGCTATACAGTTATATCAACATGAAAACTTGTAATACTGTGAAAATTGGAAATAATATGTGCTGGTAAATTTATGACAAAAAGTAGATTACTAAATATATAATGAAAGCTCTATGGAGGTATTATAGCATTACTTCACTATAAGATCGCTATGGAAGCTCCAAACACATTGGTATTTTATCTTCACAAGTTAATGTAACTTAAACTATAAGGGTCTAGGGTTCAAACCTTTCAGTGGACTTGTTCAAGTCTTCAGAACCAACTGTACACCAAACAAGAAATATAATTGCACCATATGGAATCAACTAGAAAAATAGCTATCGATGGAGAAGACAAAAATCATAAAGAAAAAGATATATAACTCCCATTTTAAAAGACCTCTCCATTGGCTTCCTGTAAATCATTCTTCTCATTTTTAACTCTATAAATGGCTGCGCCTTCCTATCTTTCCTCTCTTGTCAACCTGCACATAACTACCCATCCAACTTGCTGTTTCTACTGCCATATACTGCTAGTTCTACGTGTTAGGCATGTTCGTACTGGTGAGCGATCTTCCAGGGGTGGCGCAAGAGGGTGTGGCGCAAGCGGGAGGGACGGGGACCAGGACCCCCATTGGGGAAAGCTGCCCCCCCCCTCATCGAGGAAAAAAAAAACCACAATTTGTCAGGGAAAAAAAAAATTTTTTTTATGTATTTTCTACATATTAGACTCCAATCGATTAAATAAGCATTTGAAACCCCTAAGTTATATTTTTCAGGGGCATCTTCCCCATGGTACAGTTTCGGCAGATTTTGAGCGACACCCGATCACGTCCACTTTTTTTGTCGGGGACCTCGAACCCCACGTCAGGCGAATCCTGGCACCACCACTGCGATCTTCCTTTTCCGTGCTCCAACACTTTGTAACTCCCTGATGGCTGATCTTAAAAATTATTGTGTCCTAAACATTTTTTTACCCAACTTTTTTTTTTTTGCAAATGATGTTTGACTTTATTTGCAACTGTTCAAATCTCCTTGTACAAGTTCGTTTTAAAATTTAATAGGCGCATTATAAATTCAAATGTCATTAATGTTATTATTATTATTATTATGATAATATTAGAAACTTTTCAATATTAGATATTTTAAAATATGAAATTCACAACTCACATCACCCTTAGAGGTCGCTTTCTTAGGTTTTGGAAACTGTCGTCCACTGATTAGCTTGATATGAAGAATTTGGGGCGATACGCCTGGAATGATGTCTCGTGAATTGGCACTGAAGTAAGAAATTTCTGTAAAAAATGATGACGCAAGATATTAATAACAAAATTAATACACAGCAGTAGCAATCCAAATAATTTTCACTTTAACATTGTCATCGTTATTCTCCCTTTTTATGATTTGATAAATCAATTACATTTTAATAATATAGTATATCTTACAGCTAATAATGATACTATTATTTTACAGCAATGATGTGACCCACTCTGTCAAACCACATTATGCTTAAATTACAAAAACAAAAAAAATGTTTTTTTATTTTTTTTTTTCCAGTGTTTACCTTTTATTGGTATTTATAAAAAAAAAAAAGGATTAGCATGTTAATCCCAAAGATTACAAATCAATTTCACCAAATTTTCAAAATGATGTTATGTTTAAATGTTGATTAATGTATGACAAGAGAAAAAAAAAACCCACTCTGCCATTACGAAAAGAATAAGCCAGAAACTGTCTAATGCATTTGTTATTTCTTGTAGTAGTTAAGATAAGCCCTCATTTATCACACCCATTAACAAAGTAAACATTCTTAAATCATTTTGTGATTGCTTGATACAAAACATGTACCCACTACATGGCTGAAGAAAATCAGCCAAAAATATTTCATTGAAACACACTTTCGACATAATCCATAAAAAAAATTCTTCCTAAAGTAGTTTTCATTATTGGTGATATCATTGGGATGTATTGTTAATTAGTATCTTGTTCATTATCACTTTATTTGCATAAAAACATCATTAAAAGTTGTACAAAAATAGAGTGGTCTATAATTATAAATGTGGCTAAAAGGAAAGACAACTTTAAAAAGGAGACATTCTTCCTCCATAAATTTTGTAGAATTGAACTTCTAAGTCCAACAAGGCTTAAAATAGCAAATTACGATAGAAAAACAGGAGGTCGTCTTATACCCACGCCATACAAATTTTAGATCTATTAAATCATGTTCACCTTGCGTGTGGATCGTCTGTAACACGCTCATTTACTACTGCAATGAAGCTACTAAATATTGGCATGAATTAAAGCAATTTTAAGTACGGAAATAAGATATTGATAAACATTTTTAAAAAAATCATAAAATGGAATTATTTTGGAAGATTAGCCTTGCATTTGGCTTCATTTTTAGCCAGCTACATGCAGTATCAAGACCATAACAATCAGAAAAATGTATGAATTTCGAGGGGTGTCGTCCTATATGCCCGACATACAAAAATCGTCGAAAAATATCCTTAAACTCAGGAGTCGTCTTACATGGGTCGCCTTATATGTGAGTATGTACGGTAGGATAAAAAGTTGGGTAATAACATATAACTAACTACCTTTACAATACATACCTTCTCTCATGATGGAAGGCTTAAGAACATAACCACATTGTCCATTCTGTTTAAACTTTCCTTCATACAGGTCCATCATGAGGCCTGGTGTTTGGTAGTTCATTGCAACTGGGGGGGGGGGGTGACAAATCGATTGTTATATATTTATAATTATTGTGATGTGTATGTTAAATAATTTTATTGAATAAGTACAGGAATACAAATTTCATGTATACTTTTTATATGTGACAATAAAATCAATCTTGAATCTTGTTATTTATAATATTGGAAACATTTAACAACAGAACAAACAAATGCTTACCATGACAAGAATTGATTGGTGTTTGATGATTATGATATTGAGGATGATGATGTGAGGTTGAGTTTTACAGTGATGATTACAATGTTGATGATTCATGATTACACAGTATGTTTATTGGATGATGTTAAAAATAGGATGATAAAGATGGAAATTATACAAATTGTGACAGATAAGAATAAAGAAGAGGATAATTAATATAATGATGATTAAATATGATATGAAAATTATGATAATGGTGAGATACTGAATGATGTCAATGATGAAGATGAATACAATAAAGATCATAATGATTATTAACTATTAGCAACCATAACCTCTGACCTACCGATTTGACACCCACAATTCCACATATCCTGGGGGTTCAGGTTACTTGAGTCCACACGATGTGCATTGGGATACACTCGAGTTAAAAGCCGTTTATTGTGATTCACAAAATCTTCAGCACACATGTTTGCAAACTTTGATGCCACCCCTTCTGTTAACGAGCAGATTTCATAAAACTTTTCTACAAAAAATTAAAAATAAAAAAAATATTTTTCACAAAATGTAGAGATATTGTGGGTATATAAATGAGAGAAAAAATACAGTAAAGTAAATATACTATAACTACAAAAAATAGAAATTTATGAGTTAGTTGAGAGTACAGGTTTAAATACTTTTTTAGGAGCAGTAGGAGCAATGCAGTTCTGCTTCTCAACCTTGCGGTCGGAGGTTAAATCCCTTGCTGTGCATTTCGCTTACTGTATGTCCTAATAGAAAAGGCACATTACCTACAGTTGTCTCTCTCCCACCAAGGCAATTTAACAGAAGGACGCACATCTCGGGACATCAAAGGTTATAAATCTGGCATCGACATTCTAGACACACGTGCGTCCCTACACGCTGAACGTCACAAAAACCATAGCAACCAGACCATAAACCGTCAGCGTACGTGACAAATTACCCATGCGCGTGTTAGTTGCCATGATAATTGCGCGTCGTGCGGTGATTACAAAGTTAAAAAGGCCTAATGATATTTTACACTAACATTAGACTGAAATTATATTCTTCATTTCAACATTAATTTTAATATTGTGGTGTATTGTCGTTCATGAGACTCACTTTGCAGAAAAAATTAATAAATGTTCTGTATCTACATCTAAATGTTCGTTTTGTGTAAATTTTCAATTGCTATAACTTTTCATTTTCTTGGTCAATTTTCACCAATCAAATTGCAGTTTATAGAAGCATTTAACAAGCTCGCAGTCAAAAGAAATCAGATGTAACAGACATTGCGAAGTACCAAAAATTAATAAAATAGTAACTAACACCATAAAATGTATGGCACGCATAGACTAATAATTGATGGCTGTACTCGCAACTAGTATCGGATTGTCGATGCCACAGTAAAGATCAAAGAACTGTACGCACGCGCTATGTTCGAGAGTGGAGATGTGCCTCCTTCTGTTTAATTACCTTGCTCCCACCAGAACTACAAGTGGGTACCTAGTAGGTTCAAAAACAAAATGCGCTAATTACAGCTGCAACATTATGGAGTTCACCCCCAGGGACTTGTGTACACCGGGCCTACGGTTAGTCTTTATCCGAGAAGCTTGTTCCAACTCTGGAACCATAGGCGAACATGCCATTCGAACCAGCGCCAATATTATGGCTGTAGTTTGCGGTGCCCCTCCCTTCAAACGCTCGGCCATTCGACATGCCTAAGCTACTGAAAGACATGTAGTAATCCCTAGAGAAGCCTTACATTTTTTTACAGACTATAAATTACCAATGAATTTATCATTGCTAGAGGAGCATCACTGATTGTTAGAGACATCAGACATTAGTTTAGTCAGATGTAGATGTTTTCTGTTACTCACGGTTCTTTAGTGATTCTTGAAAGTCCTGGAATCTTACTGATTTGCATAAACACACTAAATCTGACAACTCCTTGATCAGCACTTGCTTTTTGTGCCCATCCTGTTTTTGAAGAATATATATAAAAATATTATAAGATGAATGTGAGAAAATTACAGTTTATAACACAAACTACACCACTGTCTTGACATTATGAACATAAATAAATGACACAATAAAAAAAAAAGGAATGATTTTGTGCAGGGCACTTAAGCAGGGAAGATCATGGTGAAGAGAGTTGATAGAGAGGCCTCCAGGTAAATCCATTGCACAGGACTGCATATAGTCTGGTCCAAATTTCAAAGAAAGACTGATAGGTATTTTGGCTTGTTAAATCTTGGGAGAATTTGTTTTTTTTTACTTTTTACTACATATCAACAAAACAAACAACTAAAATGAAATACAATGAATACACTTGTGGCAAAGACAAGCCAAACCAGTCACTCATCGCAAATCCTGTTTCAGAGATAATGGCCAAAATATGCTGGAAAGTCAACATTTTTTTAATCTATTTTATTGCACTAAACTAACATTTATTTATCTATATATCATGCTATGCTGATATTTCCTCTATTTTCAAATTTAAAACAATAATTTTTAACGATTTGGTGATGGTTTCTGCCTGAGAAATACCTAAAACCATAAACCTTGAAGGCTAATTTCTCAAATATTGTTCTTTAAACAGATGTATGCTTTAACTCCTGTAACTGCATAAAAAAATGTCGGATTTAGATGATTCTTTTACCATTTTATAGCTCTCATTTTACTGTTTAATCCTGTCTTGATAAATACAAATCGACTGTTTTGGCTTGCCGTTGCCACATTTTAATAATTATTCCTTTTAAATCACTAATTAAACAGATGAGACAATGATAATGTAACACAAACTTCCATATTTCATAAACAACTTAAAAGCCCTTTGACTTTGCCAGTGAAGTGAGCTATAAGATTAATATTATATATAGTATAAATGTAAAAAAAGTACGATAAAAAACACTCTAGGTTAGCCTGTCCTTGTGATCCCACAGTTCACTTTAAATCATTATATATCTGCAGCAGCATCTCATTACAGTAACCTGAAATTCAGCAGGTGCTTTTTGTCTACCTATGAACATCATGAAGGTTAAAAGGTTATAAAAAATGTCCCTCAAAAGGTAATTGACTACGTACATAAATGATAGATGGCCGGTAGCCAGACTAAGTTTTATTGATTACTTACTGGTGGAAACGTCATAAATAAATTGACAAGTTCTCATTAGAAATAGCTTTCAAGCAGTTTTACTGCTGAAATGGACTAAAAGAATCTGCATGTCTTATGAACATTAAGACAACTGCTCTCAGCATCCATATAAGGACACACAATAACAAAGTACTGCAGATCGGTATGCAAATGAAGGACATTAGATAAAGATCTTGATTAGCTGTCTCCAAAATATACCATCTATTTCATTTAATTTTCTTAGTTATAACAAGAGTTTCCATTACACATTGAAAAAAGATATTCTTAATTCTTCATCGGTATTATCATCATTACGAATAATGCTCATTAAAAAGTCTAACTGTCTGTATGAGCAACGTATTTATCAACCTTATGTCCAAGATATATATTCTATGTACAATGTAGAACACTAAAGGATACACAGTTTCTGAGGTACTCAGCTTTCAGCGCCTATTTATAGAAACTCCACGTAAACTGAGATAATGTTGAAGCACTATACAAAACCTAAGCTGACAATGTATCAATTTACTACCTTCTTAATGTGTTTCCTGCCACTATCAGCGCCCTCGTCTTCATCTGTAACTTCACCTTCATCTTGCATAACATTTTGACCTAATTTTTTGCCCTGGAATGAAATATTCTATGTATTATTAATATGTTTACACATTTAGTTGAAAAGTGGAGAGGGGAATAAACGAAGTGAGGCTGTTTGTAAATTGTTTTGAGTTTTTAAGCTATTTATAAAAAATACAGCTGCTATAATGTGTGCAAAATTGAAAGTTAAAAATTGATGTAAAATAATTTATTTAATTATTTAATAAACTAAACTAGAATAGGAATGTGTTGGAATCAGTAAAATAATTGGAACAAAATGACATTACAAAAAACCAAGGTTAAATCTCAGTGAATTTCATCACCAATAGCTATAAATTCAATTAAATTCAAGTGTATAAGTTATTTGAGCCACAGGCAATTATCCACAAATAAAAGCAAAAGGAAATGTATATGCATACATTTAACAAACCACTTTATAAAATAGAAATGGATAAATACACAGTAGTTGGCCAAATAGTGTCTAAGTAGTCTGAAATTGTGAGGGCATTTTTTAAATAAATTTAATCGAAGGATCTAGAAGAAAAGGAATAGTGAATGATTGCAAATATAGTTGAGTCAAATATTTAGAGTAAATAGTTAAATCCAGTGACACTATAGTAGATTCACTTTGTAATTATTGTATTTTACTGCATTTGATCATTGTTTTGTATTCTTACTGTCAATTCTATATTTTAATTCAAATACTGAATTTCCTTTTTTGGAGCAATAAAGTTTACCTTATCTTATCTTAGTTAACATCTATTACTTATCACTGTGTTCATTTCTCCAGATATGACCAACTTTATTCCAACATAAAGTTCTTAAAATTTATCAGACCGCAGACTTTCTCTTGGAGTCAAAAACATAAATGAACTTTGATATTACATAATTATACATTCCTAAATAAAAAAAAATTAATTGTAGGAAAGAAGTAATTTCATCAGATCTGAGTATTAAAAACCAATATTAACATAAAATATTTTCGCATTTTGCATTTATAACCAAGCAATTTTGTGTCAAAGTTAGCCAAATTATAAACATTTTTCATGGCAATATGACGTCTAATCTAACATCATTATGACATAACCTCGAAAAGACACATCGAGTAATTAAGGCGAAATCATCTCATAGAAGAAGATGCATAAAGTGGTAGTAGTGCAAATGTGGTAAATGCGTAAAGTGCACGTCTGATTCGATTTACCTTGATGAGTATTTTGCCCTTGAGTTCCTCAGGTGACAACAAGTATAAAGAGTCTTCATCTGGTGATGATGTGTACAATTTATCTTTGGAGAAATCAAATTGATCAAAGCAGATGACTACCACAAGGCTGCGTAACATCTTATGTTAATATCATATTGTTTATGCTTCAGTGTTAATGTTTGACTTTTAATGTCTTAATCAATGTTAATGTGTAAGTGTTAATGTACGTCACATTGTTTACGTCTCGCTTTTAATGCATTGTCACATTAAATTTTTTTCCCAACCATTATTACTACCATAATGACGGCAATGTGTCTTCTGAAGAAGCTACTACAAAAGTAACAGTAATCATGAGTAGCACCAACATCGTCATCTTCAATCTCAAACACAATCAGTATATTAGTCATTATCATTTATGAATCATTATAAACAACCTTATTATTATTATCCTCAACATTATTACCATCATCAACATTATAATCATCATCAACATTATTATCATCATATTTCCATTTTGAAGAAATAAAATTGAGCCTGAAACTGAACATAACATTTCATTTCATTTAATTTAGTTTTATCTTTTTTAAAAACGAAAAGAACAGACTATTAGATATTTGTCCGACAGACCCAATAAAGTTTGATTAGACTTAATCTGACTTAAAATAGACATTGGAAGTGATTAGTTTTATTAGACATTTATGCATGTTTCAAATTTATTCCACCTATTTAAATATAACAGTACATATAAAATTTGCTTAAATTTTAGGATATAGATGTTAATGGTAGGCAGTGCTACAGGCATTGTAGTCATTTATAGACTACGTTAATCAAAGGCTTAGCAAGTGAAATGTTCAACATGTGCCATTAATTTAACGCTAGCATAAGTATTTGTGCGAAATTTAGAAATTCATAACAATAATTATCAACATCATTATCATCGTCAATATAACATCTTCGTTTTCATCAACACTTAGCTTATAATTAATTGATAATCTTCATTTTGAAATTTCAGTAGTTAAGCAGAGCTGTGCTTGAATACCAACATAATTATATATGAATTATCGTTATCATCATCATCATTAAACTTTTGGAGTTACCTTGTAAAATATTCTTCATATGTTGAACCATAACAGTCTGTTGATCAACACTACAATGGTTTTCTATCGATAATATCAAGGGATACCTAAAAATAATATATATAAAAAATATAATATATATAATTAAAACATCATTCTACATAAATCATTCCTTTGTCAGTACCAGTATTAATTTTAATTGCATTAGTTTAAACTATGAATTAGGAGTAAAAAGTAATTTCCGAGTAGTGCTTATATCAACTTTAAGGAAATTTAATAAATAAATGTCTTCAGGAGCTTTTTTTACAGACATGCATGATTTTTAGTTATTCTAATTAGCTTGTATTAGATTTATCAAGGCCCCTGTAAAAAGCCATGTTCAGAGTTTCATCATTGTTAAAAATGGACTTAATAGACTGTCAGATATTTGTCTGACAAACCCAATAAAGTTTCATCTGACTTTGATGAAGTAGTGCATTGTCTGACTTACAATAGACATTGGAGTGATTTGTTTGATTAGACATTTATGTATGTTTCATAGGAATCTAAGAAATAAATAAGAATATTACATGGGTACATAGAGTGCATCTCAGCCAATCATATGGATGAAACACAGAGGATGTTTATATTTTAACATGCCAAAGGATTACTGAATAAATAGTTACTGGCTTACTCTGAGGTTTCAAACGCATGCTGGTTGATTGATTCAATTACTGATTTGAAAGAAATCTTTGACGTTAAGGTGTGTCCATGGTAGATGATGGGTTCCCCATTCGCACCGTCCCAACAATCCACTGTAAATCAGAAACCACCAAAACACATGAAACAAGTTTCTTAAAATCACTGTAAATACTAAACATGTCAGAAATATCTAACAATGTAACTATTATTAAAATCTCATTTTATAATAATTATATAAAACAAAATCATCTTCTTATAGGGGTCCATACACAAATACATACTCTCTTGGTTGGTTTAGTTTAAAAAAACTCAATGAAATGATTTTTCTGTATAGTAGTGAAAGGGTTGGTAAGAACAGGACCACAATGTGAATGCCCCTTTCTTGAAACAACATCAAAACATTAAATAAAACAAGTTTCTTAATATCACTCTAAATATACTATAGAAACATATCAAAAATATCTTACAATGTGGCTGTTATTAAAATATCATTTTGTAATATCCCAGTAGTAAATACATACAATACATTTAATACTGATACCCTTCAATTGGAGACCGCTCTAATTCCAAGACCCCTCTATGAATTTGGGACCACTTTTTTAAAGAACCAAACAACAATCTCCACACCTTTAACGCAAATCTAACCCTTCAATTGGAGATTGAACCCCAAGACCACCCCAAATTTTCAGGTCCCAAACGTGGTCTCGAATTGGAAGGCTAACAGTAAACTAGACTTGGATACATTCTATAAACTAGGAGCAAAGTATTCTAAATACCCTGTTTACATAGTATCAAATACATATTGAAAATAATAGCTTCATATACACAGATCTAATTACAGTAATAATTGATCTACTGCAGATGCCATAGTTGGGGCATCCAGTAGGAGATCCTCATTCATCATCTCATACAATTATTTAAATATCGAAATTGTACGCATGTATAGTATTTTTTTGTTGTAATCTATTTTAAAGAGTTCATGCCACAGCATGGACATGATGTGCAGGGGTGGGGGAATCCCCAAGAAGGCTGGCAGCTAAGGCAATCATATTCCTAGTTTTTAGTATTAAGCATTTATTATTTGAACCATAATATTTTGTGCTTCGTAAGTGTTTGTTGCCAAGAAAACAAATTTCATGTTGTAGTATAAGATGACGAAATGAATCAAATCTGAATCTGGACATAGTGAGCTCTCTTGTATTATTTAATGGTTTTGTAAAATAATTGTAATAGTAGATTCTATAAGCCGATAATGTATTTGATACTTACATTCTACCCATCTACATCCTTTCTTCAAGACTCTAGCATAGGCTTCTATACTGGAAGGACCCTTAAGTTGGTCTTCAGTGAGATAACTAAATAAAACACAAACAAAAGCAGGCATGATGATTGTTTCCATAAAACGTTTGGATAGGAATTTGAGTATTAAACACATCTGTATCATCTCTATATTCTGTACAATTGCCATCAATGCCATAGCTAGCTATTAGGACAGTTGCAACAGTCCCACACAATTTTTCTATTGAGTCCACAAAGAATGGGTCCACATTTTAAAAATGGGTCCAGATTTCTCATATATTGTGTAAAATGAGTCTACTTTTAAGAAAATGAGTCCAGATTTCTCAAATATTTTTTTACAGACAACCCTATTTTGTTATCATAATTTGCTATTTTAAGCCTCATCATACGCGAGTATATATAGTACTCTTAATGTTTTGATGAAGTAGAATAAAAAAAGTTTAAGCATTGACCTTCTTCCTACATCACATTTTCCTTGTTATTGATTTTGATTCATGTTAAATTTAATGTGTATTTTAATAAATTTATATAAATTGATTCCAACGTAAGCATCTTTACAATTTGCTTTACATTGTGAAAAGCAATTTGTTGTAATCAGTGTTTCTGAATTAATGAATAGTAAAAATATTCTATCCACATAGAGTCTTTGTTATTAACTACATAGCAGCTAGTAGAAATAAATGATATTAATACTAATGTTTCTTGTTATAGATTTCTGATTATATAATTTAATGTGTATTTAAATTTAAATTGATTTCAAAATAAGCGTCTTTACAATTTCTTTTACTCTGAAGAGCATTTTTTAAATAATCAATGTTTTTGAATTAAGAGTAGTAAACTTATTCTATACACATAGAGAGTTATTATGTTATAACATAACAATTCTCTATGTGCTACTAGCAGATAGTAGAAATAAATGATATTAATACTGCTATGCTGTTAAAATTAGGGTAGCGATAGTTTTAATAACCACACCATGTTGATAATAGTAATTACCATACTGCATAACCATGTATGGTCATCACTCAATCTTTTCACCATCATCACCATCAACAAAAATACCAGATTTACAATATTAGTGTAATGGTATTTGGTGTTTAGTAGTGACATCAAAATGATAAGAATATATGACCACTCTGCAACTTTGCACAATCAATGATCATAGTGATATAATAAGATCAGGTGAAATGATAGATTTCATCAGTGTAGTATATCTAGTAGTAATATCAGGTAAAACGTGACCATAGTGAAACATCATGAGCGTGATGGTATTTATTTCATAGTGATACAGTAGTGGCAAGTAACAGACATATATTGACTATGGTGATAGTAGGCCTACAATAGAGATATCAGAGATAGAAATGCTAATAACATACCAATGAACACACTTTAGAAGATTAAAGTGATATGTACCATAAAAATGAGATAGTATTGATATCAAAAGTATGGATCATAGTTAAAATAGTGACAACTATACTAAAGGAGATAGTACTGTAGATGCTACCCATCAGTGTGATGGTATTAATATCTGCATGCAAGTATTCTTTTTTTTTTCATTAAAAAATTTAATATTTATCTTTGTGAAGAATATTCCAGAAAGAAGATTAATGATCATGGTGATGCAGCTAAGTGAATGTTGTGGGAAAATAGAAATTTCTGATTGCATGAAAGCGTATATGCAACTGGTCGGTAATTAGGAAAACTAACACCAAAATATCAAGAAGATCCTTAAAGAAATCTACATCCCATTTCACACATATTTTTGTTTCTTTGTCCTTGTTATTTTTAAAACTTATTTTTTTGTGCAACAGGAGCTGACCAAAGCATGCATCAGGAGGAGGGTCAGCGGAAGGGGAAGAGGGCGTGATATCTTCCACTACCTGCCTTTGAGATGACACGTACGTGTTATGTGAAGCAGCGATGAAGTAATGTGACAACGGTTGTGTCATGTCCTGACAAACACTCTTGTGATTATGGTCCATTATTTCACATTGCTCCGAAATCAAATATCGTGTAAAACCTAAAATAAACCAAATAAAAATGTTATTGCATAATAATAATTATTGAATGAGAGTGTAAATAAATAAATAAATAAATAAAAAAATAAATAAATCAATCTAAAGTTGAATATATCTGTATGTTTAACATTTTTGGAAATTTTTATTTTATTATGCAGTTAATAAGATATGAAGATTAGGGTTGATTAAATTGTATGCAACAAAAAGGTTATAAACAAATTGTGATTATGGAATCATTTAAAATATTTGTACATAATTATATATGGGAAAATCTGGTTATATGAATGGCAACATAATACTAAACATTTTTGGAAATTTATATTTTATTATGAAGTTAATAAGATATAAGATTAGGGTTGATTAAAATATATGCAACAAAAAGGTTATAAACAAATTGTGATTATGGAATCATTTAAAATATTTGTACATAATTATGTAAAAATCTGGTTAAAAGAATGGCAACATAATACACAAGCAACGTGTTTCAAAACTTGTTTGTACCTCAAATGTTTCAGATATGCTGTACAGCGGTGGTGCCAGAAATTTCCCGACAAGGAGTCTGAGATGTCCGACGGAGGGGTCCCAGCCAAGGGGACGACAGAGCCTCGGTCAACGACCCAGAATAAAAACTTTATTGTAGGGTTCACGGGGAGAGTTTTATAGCTTAATGTCCTTTTTGACCACAATATTAGAGATATGTAATCTAAATAACCTTATTTAGAAAGGCTATTTTTTTTTTTCCATTTTTGATCTGACGACCTAGTCGTTATACGTCAAACGACAGAGGGTCCAGGCCAACACTGATGCTGTACTCAATATATATTAGGTATTGTTTTTATTATTTACTTAATGTTAGATAAACCTAAGAAACCTTAAAGGCAATAAAACATATATTCTTATAGTTTACATTTATAAATAATAATACAGATATACTAATAAGCAACTGTTCATTAAAAGAAAATGTATTATGCCAAGAAATAAGACAATGATTAAAAAAAATTAACCTTCATAAAAAGGTATCATGGTAAGATAAAAAGCCTCAATTATGGGTCATAAAAATGAAACAAAAAAATCTAAAATTAAGAAGTTCAAAATTACAAAACGAAAAAGAACAAGCATAGTTAATAAGCAACATGAACTATATCTATCTAGTTTCTATTTGGAATTGAAAAACCGTTCTATTAGATATTTTTTGACGTATAATTGGACTAAATTATATAAATTTTCTGCCTTATATTTTAAGAGTCACCACACACAGACTCAAGTACAAGTGTTTATCAATATTTTTTTATGAAACATCAATAATTGTTAAAAAAAATGAAACGATGTGTTCGATGACTATTATTCTGATATGCGTGTGTATGTAGACAAAAAAGATAGATGATAATGTTAAATTAGTTACAACTATTCTGCCTTTTTATCGTATAGCAGCTTAATTGCTTCTTTTCAAGACGAAATGTGTGTAATCATGAGAAAGTATAAATCACCTACAGTAGAAGAAAATGTGTATGCTAGTAACGCCAAACACCAGAAATTCGAAGTAGGCAATAGCATGGAACAATTTTAGGAAAACCAGGCTTAAATTCAAATCACTCTCTTCTAATTTTTTTTTTATTTTATTTTTTTTACATTTTTTTTCATTCTGGTATATGGTAAAATACAAAAAGCAGAACCAGTCTGACATTATTGTAGTACAAAAATTCAAGATTACAAACAACAAAAAAATTCAAATACATTCAAAAACACCCGATTACAAACACCATTATCATTAATAAATATTCAAAATAATAAAAATACAATTCATTAACCTATAAATTAATTAGACTACAATATATATAAATTCTTACAGTATAAAAGTTTATATTTACAACCACTGTAAAAAAATAAGCTACTTAATTATTATTTAGTTCAATATCATTATTCATTATTGCAATTATTATTAAAATATATTAACTATTAATTTATTAACTATACACTTATTATTTTATTGAGTTTTTATCTTCATTACTTTTTCAAATTCAATGTATAGTTAATATACAGCATTAATATTAAATAATAATAATAATAATAATAATAATAATAATAATAATAATAATAATAATAATAATAATAATAATAAACGGTACACTTTAGCGCATAATGTTAAGCCCTCTATGCACTTCACATTATCATTACCCAATTTGGATTACCTCATCGGATTAAATGCCTGTGGAACACAAACTCAACCTCCATGAGGGACTATTCCATAATGTTGAAACAGCTACATCAGCGCATTTTGGCATTTAACTCTACAAGGTACCCACTTATACTCCTGGGTGGAGAGAAGCAATGTAGATAAAGNNNAAAAGGGGGAGGGGGGGGGGGGGGAGGGGGGTGGGTGGGGGATATAGATTTAACTGAATTCTAGTTACTGTTGGCTATATTTTTCATTTTCTTTCTTGATACCACCACAAAAATTGTCATCTTCAATATGGGAATTAAATTGAAAGAACCCATCCCATTGCAATGAGCTAACAAATGCTCACATAAAAAAAACCTGCTTAAAGTGATAAATTACCATAATTTCCTTGCAGTTCTATCCACTTTGGCCAGAAAAATTAAGATTCATTAATTTTTCTCTCACTTTGACAGTCTCAATAAAATGCTTAATCAAATGATGAACAACATCTTCTGATAATCCCAATCTAATCTTACATGAATGGTTTACCTTAAGCAATCTTATTTCAATCAATTTAGTTCAATATCTTCCACTTACAAACACCAACCGACTGAACAGCCACAATGATTAAACCACGATCACACTCATTAAGGCTGACAAACAATATTTATCGGCAAAAAACAGAGTGATAAATTCTCCGTATATATCAACTATAAAAGAATATAAATTAGATGCTATCAAAATTAATCTCACCGTCAATTCCTAGGTATCCATTTCTCTTTCCCTCGTCTGTCAACTCATATTCTTGAATCAAAGCCAAGCATGTTTCTCTTGACAAACCAGTCATCTATAAAGAACATTTAACATAATGTAAATGTAAATATAGACTATAGGGAAAAGTTAATTGTTTCTAATGTACCATTCAATGATACATTCTACTGTAATAAATATTTTAAAATGTATCAGTATTTGATTTGAAAGAAGAAAAATGAAAGTACTACACTCCAACATGGTGACGGCATCATAATTGATGATGATAAATAATGGTCATGATGATGATGATATTAGTGGTGATGATGGTGATAATGATGACTATGATAATACTGATGATGATGATTATAATACTTTATTTTTTCATGGATACACTTGATTCACCCAATAATGATGATGATGGTGATGATAAGATGAGATTGATTGATTGATTGATCGATCGATCAATCTATTTATTTATTTTTTCTTTCTTTCTTTATACTGAATATACACTTTCAATACATAGTACTGATTTCCAAAATGGTTCTTAACTACAAACATTTCAAAAGCAGTATACACATTGCAACAAAAAAGGTCAAAAACTGAACTACAAACCCAATATGATGATGATGGTGATGATAAGATGAGATTGATGATGATGATGATGATTTATTTATTTATTTATTCTTTCTTTATACTGAATATACACTTTCAATACATAGTACTGATTTCCAAAGTGGTTCAGTTCTTAACTACAAACATTTCAAAAGCAGATATACACATTGCAACAAAAAAAAAATCAAAAATTTAACTAAGAAATTTTAAAAAAAGAGATTTAAAAGGAACATTGAAAGAAACTTAAGAAAATAAAATATTTAAATAATTAATATGGATATGCAAGGTAGGAGAAAATCAGGTTAAATTAAGATGGTATTATTGAGGATTTGAAATAGAATGCTTAAAATTTGAAAGTGTCATAGATTTAAGGTTGGTTTTAGTATGATCCGGGAGTTGATTCCATAATTTAGTAGATCAGTATACAAAAGTTCTTTTACCTTGCATATTATTCTAGTAAGTGTATTTTTACTTTGACTGCGAGTACAATGCGTTAATGCAATAATTAAAAACAAAATTTTTCGATAAATATGATGGAGCATGACCATTTAAACATTTGAAAATCACTATGAGCAATTGTTCGTCCCATTTATCACTGAGTGTGCTCCACCCTAATGAAGTTCAAATATTTACAAACTGGTGTATGTCTGCAGAAAGTAAAATTCTCCCTAATCTAGCTGTATAAAAGTACTTTAAGAGAATTTGAAAGTTTAATATTACAGTTGGACCAAACACAATTACAGTATTCAAAAAGAGACATAACATCTTAAGATTATTATGGGGTAAAAAATATTTAACACGGCGGATAACACCAATGCATTTAGAGATGTTACCAGTTAATTTTTTAATATGTTCAGACCATGTTAATTTAGAATCAAACAAAACTAGAAGATATTTGAATAAATCAACTCTGTCAATAGTCATGCCATTATAAAATAATGAAATATTTGAAAATTTAGGTAAAATTGCATTAGTTCCAAAAATCATAAGTTTAATTTCTTATATTTAGTGTAAGTTTTTTTATCAAACCATTCAGCAACTTTGATTAAATTTGAATTTAGATCGGAAGAATTGCATAAAATGGTAATCGTCTGCATACATTACACATTTACATTGAGTGACATTTGGTAGGGAATTAACATAGATAATAAGTAACAATGGGCCTAAAATGGACCCTTGGGGAATACCAATGTTAATTTTCATTGGATCAGATAGGGTTGAATTAATTTGAACAATTTGAGACCTATTATTAAGATAAGAAATGAACCAATTTAGGGCAGATTCCTGAATTCCAAGTTATTAAGTTTTGATATGAGGATTTTGTGATCAATTGTGTCAAAGGCCTTTTTCAAATCTATGAAGATGGCTGCAGTTGCTTTACCTTCATTTAAATTATTGAGAATGTAATCTGACACATCAATAAGGATAGTACTTGTTGAATGGTTTTTCCTAAAGCCAGATTGAGATTCATTCAAAATATTAACTCTTTTGAAATAATCCAACTGTTTTGTGTACAGCACGTTCAATGATCTTAGTTACTATTAAATGGTTGGATGGATATAGGTCTGTAATTGTTTGGATGGGCTTTGTCACCCTCTTTGTAAATAGGAGTGACCTTTGCTTGATGATTATGATGATGAAGATATAAATGGTGATGACTATGAGGATATAATGATAAGGATAATGATGATGTGGACGATGATCATGATGGTAATTATGATAATAATTAGGATGATGGTGATGATTATCTGGTCTATATATCTATACTAGATGAGTACCCGCCCTTTGGACACATTTGTGCGCTAGTTGTTATCATGACCATAGCACTGTGATTTCATCTCATGAAATATTATACGGACTACAACAGAAATTTAAACAAATAAAATATCCATGTATAACAGTTATACAGCAATTTGTAAGAAAGACTGAAGGATATATTAGTGTACCTGACATGAATTTAAAGGCTGAACACTGCCAAGTTTAATTTATTTATATTTGTAAAAATTACTTTTTGGCAATCCCATCACATCAACTGTTCTCTCTGTGCTTTGAGGCAATTGGTTTCTGTAATCAGGTATATATTTTTATGGAAAACGGTCATTAGTCTGTAGTCTAACCTCTTTAATACCTCCAGAGGAAGGGGTGCTTGATTTCAGACTGTACCATAAAAAGGCCCATAAGCAGGGTGCAGAGGGTGTGGATGCACCCATTCCCCCCCCCCCTCCACCAATTCCAAAGGGTCCACTTTTTGATACATATTTTCACTAAAATCATTCCTAATTATTGCAAAATGCTATAGTATGCCTTGCATTAAATTTGCCAGCTCTTCTAACCGTTTATTTTTAACAACTGTGGTATGAAGTTTGTAGGAAATTGATTAGCTCCCGGTAGTTGCCTGTATGAACAAACTTATCTGTATTAATACAGATGTAAATAACACAAAACATCTTCAGGTCAATAAAACGGCCAAATAAAAGAAAATTTAATTAGAATATTCACAAATAGTTTCAGAAATCTATTGTGACATCAACAAACATGATGTTTGGACACGTGATCCGTCAGAAACGTTGATGATGTATTATTACGCATTCGTTCGATGGAATGAGGAAATTATTGTAGAATTTTTTTGTAATGATTGTAAATTATATCAATACAAAATGAGAACATTATCTAAATATTGGAAATGACGTTTTAACCCATATCTGTGACAAGATATTGAAGAAGCGCAAGAGGTTTAGAGGTACTTTTAAGGTATATAGTGTTAGGTTACTTCTTAAATAGACTGGGGAGAAACGATGAGTGAGTGAAGCCTAATTCAGATTTTTTTTAATTAATATTTAATAAATTACATGAGTTTTGGAAACAACAGTTAAAAACATGGCCAGTACCAATATATATATATATATAGATAGATAGATAGATAGATAGATAGATAGATAGATTTTGTAGTGTTATATAGCCTGTGGAATTGCCAAAGAATCCTACAAAACATCTGAATTTACACTGTACTATGGCTAATGGCTAGCAAGATTTAAGTTTCCTCCATATTTATGTTTAAAGGCAACTTAACTTACATGGGAATTTTACACTGTACATTATATCCCTTCATACGTAGGTTGCAGATTCTCAATGTGTGTGTGTACACCTAAAAGCGATTGAATTTCAACCTGAATACGTCACAATCTGTGCCAGAGGCAGTCGTCAACAAGTTTATTCAGATATTTTTTACCAATGAAACGTAACACTGAGCTTACATAGTAAACAAATATCATGTTGATTAGATTCATGAGGCTAATTGGCAATCGGTATATCATATTTTAATGAGAAACGTGGTAGCATTGATCATTAGACCTATTTGTTAAAGTGCTGCCCCAACATTTTCAATTATTTAATGGTTGTTTTGGACATGTGTACATTTTAACGAGGAGGTAGTGCATCGCAACCGAAAGGCATAAATGGATCACTGCATCAGATGAGAAGGATGAATGCAAATAGGAAAAGAAGGATCATGGCACTGGCTGATATTACATCCAGTAGTGTAGCACTAGAAAATATATTTAGGAGGAAGAAGCTGTCCGATAGACTGACAATTTATTTTCCCATGGTCAGAAAATACATTCTTTTATCCGAAAAGTGATCCTGACAGGGATTAAACCCCTTACCACCACCAATCCCAGGATGACATCACAGAGCCAGGTCCCCACAGGGAGTCTTGGGTTCTAATACCACAGAGATTTTACAGAAAAATTATTTATCGCCATTTGAAAATATCTGTTTTTGCATCCATATTGCAGTTTCAATAATTTATCTAGAAGTCATGGGTTAGATTCCCACCCGAATCACTTTCAAAAATATTTTGGAACGTACTCAGTATACAATGATAATACATCTCTTCTTTTTTTTTTTTTTGGCTTTTTCGGCTTAGTCAAGCCATTAGCCTTGCCACTCTCTTCCAGTTCAGCCTTTCGCAATCGTTTTTGCTCAAAGTATTGATCGTTTTATTAATTGGTTTTAGGTCTTTGTTTGATCTTTGTGTGTTTAGGTCTTCCTCTGTTTCCATTTGCTTTCTTCATGTTTTCTTTTAATGCTATATAATGTTGAACTAAACATCATTAGTAGTACAACAACAACCAAAATAAATGTATTAGGACTAAATATTATAAGGATGAGTGTGGAAAAATTGAGTTCAGCCAGAGCTAAAGGCAATTTTCTACATAAACTATAATAAGACACACAGCATTTGCAGTAATATTGATTTTGCCATATTTATGTGAATAGAGCATTTCAAAGCTAATGTAATATGGCTGATATGTATGTGTGTATTGTATGTGCCTGACCAGTGACATACGATATGAAATGTATGAATGTAAAGGTAAAAACGGGAATTTATGGAATCTTGAAAGCATCATAAAAACTCAGCAAATATATATAGCAGCTGTTAGTTTAAGTTATTAGAAGCAAAAAGCATATTTAAATTTTTAGAAAAATTTATTTCTTCTAGTTACAGTACTTCAATCTGGTGTATATTTTACAGCATGCACTTTATGATGTATATACTTTTAATAATCATTGATATTGAATTCACAAGGTATCTAGGGTTTAAGAAATAGGACATTTACAGCTTAGCCGAAAAAAAAGTTTTATTGGAATGCTATGGTGGACTAACGCCCCTTTCAGATAGACTTTACCGCAATTTTGTGTTAAACATGCCGGCATAATAACCGGTCTGTCAAGATTTTCTTTGACATAACACTGTTGAGCAAAATTAATAACTCGAAAGTCCAAATACGATTCCAGTTCACAGACACTAAGAGACTTAAATTGGCCAAATTTAGAAAAAAAAAACCAGTATATCAATGAAGCTGTAACAATGTATAAGATAATGAATAATTTAGCACCATCTTAATTAAGAAACCGGTTTCATGAACATGAACATATAAATTAAACAAGGTCAAATGATATTTTATGCTTACATAAACCGAAGACTGAATATAGAAAAAGAAGTTTTTCATATCATGGGGCAGAAGTCTGGAATAACCTAAATAATTAAAATAATTTTGCAACAACTGCTCCTAATATTTATACTTTTAAAAGACTAATAAATAACTGACAAGATTAAATATTTTGAATGATGAACAAAAAAATGTTAAACTGTTCTACATTGTCATGACATCACTTTTTAGTCTTTTGTCTTTATAATGTTAATATTTTAGTATACATTTCTTTGCTGAATATGTATTCCAATATGTTTGTATGTGTTTTTTTTTTTAATTTAAGTTTCATCATTTCATTATTATCTTCTTGCAAAAACGGCATTGTGAAAAACACCAATATGGTGATACAAGTTTTCTCCGTTTTAAAATAAAGTTGTTGTTGTTGTTATTATTATTATTATTATTATAGTCTGCGCAGGGCTCTAGGATGCAGTAACTGTTTGTAAGTAGGATATTATTTTACTTTAAACATTAGCATGCATTTATAGAAACTATCCATAAAATAAGATTGTACTCAAGTACAAAATTGATGATTTGATATTGTTTATTTACTTTACTTGTACTGTTGTGTTAAACAAAACGAGATTGGGAATCCATAGCTTCAGCACTAAAAATGCAGCTCTGTACCGACAGACCAATTACATAAATGAAGATGCCTAGGTAGCATTTGATATGAGCAGACAGATAGAAATGCAAATACAGTAGAAACATTATAAATGATCCGATTCTGATACTAGGCAGGCGAGACATTTAGATAATGTGTTTGGTTTGACTGCAATTGTACATAGTATGTAGAACACCTGTGAAAGGTATAACAAATGTCATTGCTTCTGAATACAAAATTATACAGTGTTTCTACAGACAATATGAACAGAATGTGGGAGGCCAAGATTAACTCTAAGAACATATACAGTATTTGTCAGTGATATATTATATACAGTACAGACAAAAGATACATAAATATCATAAAATAATAAAATGTTAAGTATATAATTGAAAAGAACTGTACTATAACACTGTTGGGTGATTACATGTTTTTTAATACATAATAATGGTGATGACAATCAGTGGTGATGATTAGAATGATGATAAAGATGATGATGATAATGATAATGATGGTGATGATAATGAGGATGATGATTATGACAGTGATGAATGATGGTTATGATGATGATAGTGACAGTGCTGATGATGATGATTATGATGATCATGTTGAAGACTATGGACATAAGAACACAAAGACTATGAAAAAACAATGACAAGATTATGGCAATAAAACATTCTTTGGCATAAAAAAAAATCAATCACTCAATCAATAATATTTATAATTATTGTTCTTCATTATTACATTTATATTTCATTAGGATTTAATATATATATATATATATATATATATAGAACTGGAGGTCGCTGGAACAGAATGTTGCTACTCGGAGTTTCACGCTATTGCGATCGTCAGGCAACTGATGAAAGGTGAACGTTGTGTGGTGATGTGACTTGCTTATATATATATATATATATATATATTTAATTTATTTCATTTATATACACAGAAGCAGGTGAAATTCTTTCATGATTTAATAATATTTATAGTATGCGCCAAATACAAATACTGTTCTAAGATGCTTATTCCAGAATTTAAGTCAAAGGTAATGAAAAGGAGGTAATTAGTTTGTAATGTGTGTAGTGACAGTGATTTACACTTGGCTGTATCTCATAAATCTCACTGGCACCTTGCGCAACCATGGTGTAACCAATATGACAGAAAACAATGATACAGGAGCAATGATGCAATAGCCCACTGGACAATGGCAATATTTAACCTTATCAGTGGTTGGAGCTTAAGTGTGTGGTTGTGGGTTGATAAAAGTGATTTATCTTGCTTCTACATACCCCTTGTTCTGTTTCCAAAAATAATAATAAATCATCTGCTGTCATGTAATCATTACTGGCATACCTGCAAATATTTTAACAATTATTAATTATTTTTAGCAGTTTAAAGCCAGACTCGGGAGGAAAAAAAACATTTTTGATATGTTGTAGAAATGATTTTTCTAAGACATTAACAACAAACGACAACAAAAATTGTTTGACGATAAACTTGGAAACGGTGAATGATATACAGATTTTTGAATATTTTAAAACTGGGGGGAAAAAGGTGTAAAAAAGGGCAGTTACGCTTCCCCCTTTTTCCCCCAGTTTTAAGATATTAAAAATCTGTATCTCATTCACCGTTTTCCAGTTTTTCGTCACATAATTTTCTTCTGTCTTAGAAAAATCAGTTTTTTTTTTTCTTCCGGAGTCTGACTTTAAAGCTCTTGTTTGCTATATATAGTATTTCTTTCATACTCTATTTTCTTTTCATTGATTATTTTTAATAATTGTTTTCATCATTATCACCATTACCAATATTACCAACACTACTGTCACTGCTGCATGCCACCTATATCATCATCATCGTCATTGGCATCACTGCAATCATCACCACCACCATCTGTATGTATCTAACATAGTTCAATATCTTAATTTTCATCAACATCTTCAACCAAAATGCCAACATTATCATGATCTTCATCGTCAGCATCATCATCTTCATCATCTTCATTAAATCTATCTCCGTCTTCATCAAAAGTCATCGTTAATCATTTTCATCAACATCATCATAATTATTAATATAATTTTTCTCAATATCTTCATCACTATCATTATCAACGTCATCATTATCATCAACAATATCATCGTCATTGTCTTCACCACCATCATTATCATCACCATCATCATCATCGTCACTGTCATTAACACCATCATTATCATCATCCCGATACACATACTACAGTAATATTTTTACACTCACCGAACCAAAAGAAAATAGATTTCAGGTCTAGTAGTTGTTTCTTTAAACAGCTCCACAAATTCACTACTTGTTACAGTTGGCCTCAAGGAATCACTCTTACTCTTATCCGAAATTATCTCCTGTAAATCAATTTAAAAAAAATCGTTTAATAGAAATATGAGAAAGCAACCAAAGCACTGATGAGCTAGGGAACTACCTGCAGGCAGTACCATGACAGGCCCCTGGGCACTATTCCTGCCAGAAAACTAACCAAAGTACTGCACCTTAAGAATCAGTCAGCTCGACTAGTGGTAGCCACTTTGTGTGCGCTGAATTGTGAAGATCTATTTTTAAACTTTAATACTTTGAGATAATTATCACTAAACAAAAATAATAGTACTGCATATGAAGACTGGATGTTTAAAGTGCTCAACAATTGTATTCAATAGTCTCCATGTCAAGATATGTCAAAACATGAGCACTCCAGGCAGCTCCAACTGCATTTGGGAACCTTCAACCTCATTGGATGTCTTTGAGAATGCAACTTCACTAGCATAAAAGTATGTACATACAGGTACAGGATTTCACTGCATTATAATTAATGTACATCAAGTTAGTAGTGTTTGGCACAAATTATAATGAACAATTAGATAAAGAGTTCCATGTATAGTCTGTAACAAGAAATATGTCGACCTGCGCACTACACTACGATTTCTAGGCTAGCTAAAATTTACGAAGGATCACATAAATTTCAAAGCATACAATGCAGGGAGAACGCTAGAATAACTAAATAAACACAACATCAAAAATCAACTTAAATCAAAGAAGCCCTTCCCTCAACAATCAAGTTTAACATTACACCATAACACTCTGTTTATAATTAGCATACGCTACCATACCTCAAACTCTAATTGGTCTACTACAATGAATACATTACCTCTCCACTACATGGCAGCAACTACTACTAAACACGCCTTAATTCTAATTGGTCAAATATGATGAATATATTAATTTTCTACAACGTGGCAACAAACAACATTTAGGCTACATGTTACGACACCTGAGCTGATTCAGGCTGTATATATATATAAGCAATGGAATTGTTTTGTTTTAGTTTTTTAGTTAGCACTGATGGAAACAGGAGAAAAATGTTTGCGAATAAATGGTTTATTTCGTTAAAATTTGTGTTCATCTTGATTTCGCTTTGATCTTTTGGTTCTATTATTCATGATTTAAGCTGCAGCAGTGAAGTTAGCAAGTCTGAATTGAGGAAGCTAGAGAAACTATTTAAAAATCAGGTAAAGCAGAAGCTGGTTTGAATTTTCTTAATAACTGTAAATAAACACTACTTTGAACAATTGTATTGTCTTTCCTTAGCATTTATTTCTCACGTTAATAGTGGGTGGTTGTTTTTGCAACCATAAAATTACCTTTTCCTATACTTTTACACTGATTGCACTGTAATGTTTTCCATGGTTATACCAAACGTACATCACATGACTGGCTGTAAAAAAACATCGCCTAATTTGTCTATTCTGGTAGTGCCTACAGGCTGTTGGATTTATGGTGTTTTCAAAGTTAAAGCAATACAAAGAAAACTCCATTGCTTACATACAGGGTAAAACATTAAAATTATTGAAAATAGATAAAAAGTTACAAACAACAAAAATATGGATATGATCTCAGTTAGAGATCCTGGAAAAGAAAACATTTTCAAAGTCACAAAATAAACAACTAGCCAACCTAAACATGACACTTGCTGTTTGATTTCACATGGTCCTGACCACAGCACAGCTTATTACTCTCTAAATTCACATAAATTTGATTTTAGTGAATGACTTAAAGACTAAATTACAGTTCTGTATTTAGACACAAACCTGACAAACAAAAATGATTATAAAAGGATCAAAGAACTGCAGAAAAAAGATTAATGAAAACACAACAAAATAATTAACCTTGTGAAATGATAAACCATTGCAAAGATTGCAAAGAATTATACTAAATAATGTCAACAGTAAAGAAAAATGATAGAAATGTGGAAGAAACAATCATCAGGGACTTCCTAACTACTGTAATCCAAAAGAAACTAAAACACAATTCAAAGAAGTTAAAGTTGATATTACTGATACTGATAAGAAAAATTAATATCTGAATACAATCAAAACACTCTAAGACAGATAGTACTGACAAGATAAGACTAGATATATTATAAGCAGAACTTAAAACATTGGATTGGATTGGTTACTTTTAGGATATTTTATGGCGTCATTCCATTTTTCAAGTCCTTTTATGTGTAAATCACTTAGAAGCATTGTTTTGTATTAAGCATTCTATATTAAGACTAACATTATTATTATTATTATTATTATTATTATTATTATTATTATTGCTATCAACAATTTGCATTAGTGTTAATACAGGTCTCTCTCCAATTAAACACCACTTTGGTCTTTAGCAGCTTTGGTCATAAATTAGAATAATAAAGATAAGACATCAGTTAATTTTGGACCACAGAAAAGCGGTTGTTAATGGGAGGGGTTATAAATTAAATATAAATTATAAATTAAAAATATGGAGCAAAGAAGAAACTCTAACTGAAAAATGGACTGATTGTCAATTGCTGCAAAAAAGAGCAAAATCTCATGGATGGTGGAAACCAGAAAAGAAAAAATACTTATAATAATATTGCAAATGAAGTATTGAACATTTAATTGACAGTATTTTTTTTTTTTAATTATAGTGAATCCATGTTGAACTAGGTTTTTGTTGTGAGTATTGAATGAGTTTGGATCAGAACTATTGTTCATACTCTACAGTAATCTAAAGATAGAAGGCATTAATATATAATTTACAATTTGCTATTCTTCATCAAGAAAGTTTGTAGAAAATCCTAGACCACAACTGATGAAATTAAATAAACGAATTGATTATAAAAAAGATTTTTTTTTCTAATAATGTTGTACAGTACTACAAATACATACTAAATAAAATGGTTCACAAAAAGATTGGTTAATTTATTTACTTGTCGACTACGTGATACAGCTACTAATGACAATTAATGGAGAATAATTTCAAACCTGCAAGCTCTTGCAGATGACATCAATTTTACATCGACAAAATTCAATTAAAATTTTAAAATAGTCATCAATTTTGCATTAGTTGTCTATAACTCTGGTTCAAAATATTCTATTAAGTTGGTTTTTGGTGGCAAAACTCATTATTTCTTTTACAAGAAATAAATTTATTAAATACATACTATAATACAATTAGTGTTTATTATACAATATTTAGCCATTATCAATTTCAAATTTGCAATTACATTGATTTTGGTATTTTTTGATTCACAGCCTGATTCAGTACACTTTCTGCTTTTATTGTATTTACATATAAGTAATATAAAAGCAATACTTAAACTAATGAATAAAAATAGTATGAGACTTAAGATGTGAGGACTGTTATAAAAAATAAAATTGAGTAATACATTATACTCCTAAGAAAATTGAAAACATACAAATAAAATTAGAAAAAAATAGTCGCATTATCAGTCACTATTTTCATCAATCCCTAATTTAAAAAAAAATAAATGGCTTCATTAAAAAAAAAAAAAACATCAACATTAAACGATGCAACAGCATTGTCCAAACAAACCGCTGGAAGCAGGATGCAAAAATTATTTGAATGTACTTTTTGAGCAGTAAAAAGTATGTCTGCAGTGTAAAACCACCCACTGAGTCTGACAGTCATTGGCCGAGTGATTCCATAAAGAACATGCGATGACGTGCATGCACAGATCATTTTTAATGACAATCCATTCAGACTGGAACCGACAATCAGCAGATGACGATGTCCAACACTCACAAGTCACGGAGGTTTAACTGTTCACCGACAATCGTTGCACGAAGATATGTCAATTCTGGTTCGCGGTTCATTTTTGTTAAACATTATCAAACTGAAATCCAATTGCCAATTGAACAAATAAAGTTGGATAGAATCAACAACTACTTATATAATTTTCTTAGAAGTTTGTTTTATACAGTCAAATGTCAAAGCCACATGGTTTCTGCAAAACAGCTTGTCTTATATTTATTGTTTTTGCAACAACAAAATGTTCAATGATTAATGGTTTTAAATTTATATAGCGCAAAATACAAAATGTCTCTATGCGCTATATGTTTGGAAATGTGAAATGAAAAAAAAAAATAAATAAAGATGAAAGTTCCAAACTATCCAGCACCAAAACCGCTCTCATCAATACTGACTAATAGTCAGTATTGAAAAAGGATCAAGTTTCGAACTAAAAAACAAAACATAAATCCTAACTTCAAAAATACAATGTTATAAAGATATCTATTGCTATTATACAGAAGTGAGCCTTATATAACACACCTAAATAGATTCATAAGTCATAAAATATCAAATGACAAGAATTTCCATTCAGAAACCAGATCCCGGTGAGCGTCAACGTTCCTATGCATGATGCATGTTTTATTTTCAGGCAATATGAGGTTGGATGGATTTTGTGTTGTGGTGGTTTACCTTGAAAAGTTCATTCTTTGAATTTGAATATTGGGAAAATGAATACTGTACTTACACATCAGCTATAGACCTAAATAAATGCTTCGCTATCGTGCTATTATGCACGCCTCCAGCAGCATGCAGCAGCCTAGCCTGTTTTCTCATTTCGCGGGTGAAAAGTTGACCTAATGACATGTGGCGCCCTCTATAGATATTGAAGTCGCTTATTATTTTAAATCTTATCAAGCAATTGGGGGCGCCAATCAATAGCAAAAACACGGAAGAAGTTGACTGAACCACCACTGAGGAACTTCACGTTGCGAGGTAAAATCAATATGTCGGAAACATTTTCTGACGCGTGCGCAATTTCACTCTAAATGTCCACACACATGCACATGCAAAATGTGATTGCAAGAGTCCCTATTGCATTGTCTGCATAGGAACTAAAAAGGTAGATTTTTTTCACAAAAAATATCAAGTGCAAAGAATCTATTTTAGGTGTATTATAAAACAAAATAATGAATGTTTTTATTTGAGCAATGGAAAGAAAATTTTCATTTGTGGAAAATTGATTGTACATTTAACTCGGCTCCGCATCATTGAATGGAACAGTCAATCTTCAAAC